TCTAGAATATAGACAATAAGTGCGACAGTGATAGCATAGCTAAAAACAACATCCCCCTTTCCCCTTGTATCTCTCAACCTGCAGTTCACATCTTTTGTTAGCATATGATTAAATGACTCATGGTAGTCGATGACACCACACAGGACCAAAGATAAATAAATGTAAAAAATGTGTTAATACCATGCTGAATAAAAAAAGGGTTACAAGCAAATGGGATTTCAAATTTAGTTCATTATATACATACCTATGTCCGTTTTGTGGAAATACAAGGCAATCCCTCAAACCCTTTTCCTCTAATTCTTCATTGTAGATAGCATCAAGGACTCTTACGTCTCCAGGGTGAAGACAAGGATTTTTCGTGACCACCACCTTTCCCACTACTATACGTGTGCTATCATCGTCATCCACTTTCCTTAAGTTGTCATCAAAGTTTTCCGTAGTTTTTTTCACCGTTACACGAACAAATACTTGACCATAATTCAAGATACCAGTTTCATCCAAGCAACCTACTAAGACCCGACCCTTGGGAACAAATATTCGGCATCTACTTTTCAAGTCAGATAATTGGTATGCATAGTAAGCCTTAAGCATCATAGATAGGTAAGGCTCACTGTTTGGCTCATTAAATTCATGCAACATCTTCACTAAAATGCTCCTTGAATCAGCTCCGTTCAAACTTTCCAAAACATCCAAAGCTGCCTTACTATCAGTCAACATCCTTCCCAACAAATTCAATTGGTCCTGTTGCCTTGCCAAAAACACTTCGTCCTTTACTCCTAAGGTAGTCAGCAGGGATATAATCTCTCGATTGAGAAAGCAAGGCATTGACTCGCTCCATTTAGTGACACAAAGCATCCTATTTTTGGATTCAAACTTCAGCATGCTTCTGCGCAATGATAACTTCCTAAAGGAATGGCGATCAACAGTAATGACACCTTTAAATCCTCCAAACCGAATTTGAAATGCTGAAGGACTATGATCTAACTTGAGCTTTTGAGCAACTTGCCTAGCAAAAGATTGGGAAATTTTTCCGATACCATCTGAGAAACAATAGCTTACACCATCAGTGGTAACTTCAATATCTGGAATTATCTCAACATCTTGAGGGGACACTTCAAAAGTTTGCATGGAAGAACTGAACAACTGACCCATCCTCGCTGCACATTTAGAAACACTGCGGATATTGTTGAAGCATCCCATCCATTCTCTGATATCTGTTGCTTTCAAATTGTCATTAGAAGCAAATAACCAAACAGAATTTGATCGCAGCTGACTAGCAGAGAAGGCCAGGAACTCAAATCTCTTTGATCCAATAAAAATCCCATCTCGAAGAATAGTCAATATTCGATTATATATTTCAGTTTTAGAAGGCTTTGAAAATATTCCCTTTTGCACACCAGTCGATACTGCATAATTTGGAAGCTTATTCCAATTCTCTTCAACAAAGGTAATCCTCATGAAGTCTGAAGCATAGGATGCAAAATGCTTTACCACATGGTTTGACGTTTCAAGCTCAGGACCAAGGCAATAAATCTTCGTTGGGGTAATCAAGGCTCTATGACAGCTCATAATGTTATTATCTGTCAATCTTTTCTGTGAAGATTGTGGTGGACTTTTTTTCTTATTACTCAGCACATGCAACTGAGTCTTCACGAATTTAAGAGGCTCATAACAAGTGAAGCCCATCTGGTGCAATTTCTGAAAAATCACAGCTCTAATTTCTTCATCTAAGCCTCCCAAAAGGTCAATCAATTCATCATCCACCGAAGCAAGACTAATTTTCTGAGTATGAACAAGAGAATTCAACTGGAAAAGGGCCTCGTAAGGTAACTTGGATTGCGAAGCACACTTTACAAGAGGAACTGCTTCCGTGGAAGAACAGAATTCTTCCCCATCCTCCAGAGCCAAATCTGTCATATTTTCCTTGTAGAGCGGGAAACTTGTAAAAACATCCGAAGCCAAATGTTCTTCCTCAATTTCCCAACAAAATGAAGTAGAGTGCCCAATTGACTTCAGAGCCGAAAAGTCAGTCGTCCGCACCCAAAGAAACTCAGAATCCTCCTTACAAAAATGGTACCTATCACTCTTAAACGTGGTTGCCACATCTGGCCCTGTCTTTTTCTTGTAAATCCTTGGCCCAAATTTAAGCTGAGAGGAAAAGAAAACACCGTCAAATAAAATATAAAAGAAAAGAAACTCATGAATCGCACAAAACAAAAATCCCAAATGCTTATTGTCATTGAACAAGACAATTTATATAGAGTCCCTAAGTGTTTTTTTTATGCTGCTACCCAATCATAATAAAATATGAAGAAAATGTACCTTCAAGAGAATGGCATTGAGTTTGGCTTCTTCTCCCAAACAATAGCCATGAGACTCCAAAATATCCTCAAAAAAAATCTCGAGTCGGTAACAGTCGCCACCATGCCACACCAAGAAGTCAAGCTTCCTCCTTTGGGCCACTACCAACCCCGCAACGCCCTCCCAGGAGTCGAGAACGCTCATGCGGTGGTCGGAGAGCATGATGCCGGCGTAGAGGACACCATTTTGAAGGCGGTGGAGGGGGCGGAAGATGATGTCTTCGGAGGTATCGGAGAGGCGGAGGAAGTGGGAGTGGATGAGCAGTTGTTGAAGGTTGGAGAGAGATAGGGCGCGGGACTTAGCGTCGAGGGTCTCGAACTGGACGCGGCCGGCGCCGCGGGACTTCCAGTTGGCGTTGTCGGAGAAGATTTCGAGGGCGAAGACGGTAGAAGTACCCACCTTGGATTCGAGGAAGTGGAGAAGGTCCTTGGCGGTGGCGGAGCGAGGAATGTTGAAGACGCTAACTGTGTGCGAAAGGGGAGTTGTTGTCGTTCCCATGGTGATGATGAAGATGCCCCTTACTTGCAGAGTGAGTGACAGTGTCACACACAACACAGGGAGCGTGTTGCCATACAAATTATAAAATAGTTGAATTTGATGTTACTGGAAAACATACAAAACCCATGTTTCCTTTTAAATAGGACTCTGGTCTTCTACACTCAGCTATGGGTCACAGTGTGGGCCGGGCCGAAAATAACTATTTGGGTATTTCATCGTGCACCTCCAACACTTCATTATGCACCTCTAACTTTTTCAAACAATTATTTTTAACTTTAGTAAATACCATTTCTACTTTTTCTCTGTTTAAAGTAAAGCTGTTTCATCATGCACCTCCAACACTTTATCATGTATTTCCAACATCTTCAAAAATTTCTTTTTAATCTTAGTAAATACTTTTTTTTACTTTTTCACTTTCTATTTAAAGTGATCCTACACTTTTTTAACTTTATACATTTTTAACAAAATTTTAAAAACGGTCTTTTATTTATAATTTAATTTCAAAATTTAATATTTTTCATATTTTAATAATTATTAAAATATAATTTGTATTATTATAATAATTATATTAAAAAAATTAAAATTAAAAGAATTAAAATAAAAGTAATAAAAATAAAAATAATTATATAAAATCTGATTTAATATATATAATAATATATTATATTATATTAAAATATTAAATTAATAAAAGAGGATTTCAAAATTTTCAAATTTCTTAATTATTATTATTTTAATTTTAATTTTTTTAATATTACTATATAATAATATAAATTATATTTTAATAATTATTTAAATATAAAATATATTAAATAATATTAAAATTTTAAATTAAATTAAATAATTAATATAGTATAAACAAAAACAAATTTTTGAGAAAACTTTCGTATCGGAATTAGAAATCCGATAACATAGTTATCGGATACCAATATCCTATGACTTTTTTTAAATTTTATTTTTTATTTAAAATTTAATAATAATTTAATTTTTCATATAATAATTATACTATAAAAATTAAAATAAAAGTAATAAAAGTAAGAATAATTACATGAAATAGGATCTAATATATAAATTTATATTAAAATAATAAAATAGGATTTCAAAACTTTTAGATTTCTTAATTGTTATTATTTTTATTTTTATTTTTTTAATATTATTACTATAATAACATAAATTATATTTTAATAATTATTTAAATATAAAATATATTAAATAACATTAATTTTTTAAATTATATTTATAAATAAGAAACAAAATTTAAAAAAATTTTATGTAGGAATTGAAAATCCGATAAAATAGTCATCGGATATCCGATGACTTTTTTTAAATTTTATTTTTAATTTAAAATTTAATGATAATTTAATTTAAATAAAAAAATAAATTTTAATAAATATTAAAATATAAAAAATATTAAATAATATTTGATTTTTAAATTAAATTAAATAGTTATTAAATTATAAATAAAAGATAAAGTTTTAAAAAAAATTTAAAAAAGGAGCAGAATTAAAAAAAGTGTAAAATTACTTTAAATAGACAGAGAAAAAGTAAAAAAGTATTTATTAAAATTAAAAATAAATTTTTGAAAAAGTTGAAGTTACAAGTGTTGTGAGGGAGATGAAACACCCTAACTTTCTTGGACAACTTATGAACCCAAGTCCACGCTCACGTGAAAGAAAAATTGAAAGTTCTTTATTTATTAGAAAATTATAAAAATACTTAGGATATTTTTTAGTGTATAAAATTAGAAATGGACTCCTCCTGCAAATTTTAAAGCTTTTTAATTTCATTTATTTGTAATTTTTGTGTAGTTTAATTTATAATGATTATTTTTTTTTTACTTTAGTATAATTCTTAAATTTTCTAATTTGATGTTATCTTTTTTATTGTTTTTTTAATTGAGTTGTTGATTTGATTCAGATCATGACTTTTGTTTCATTCAAATTCAAATTGTGTAACAAATATATTCAAACAAATTAAGATATATTTTTTTCTAAATCATAATTAGATTGAATCGCGTTATCATCTCCACACTTTACTTCCTCTTGTTTCAATAAGAATTATTCATTGCTTTTTTTTTTGTTAATTAAGGATAAACTCTACTATTCTTGCTTTATCCATATTTTCAACATTTATGTTTTTGCCTTTTATTTATTTNTCCATTTAGTGACACAAAGCATCCTATTTTTGGATTCAAACTTCAGCATGCTTCTGCGCAATGATAACTTCCTAAAGGAATGGCGATCAACAGTAATGACACCTTTAAATCCTCCAAACCGAATTTGAAATGCTGAAGGACTATGATCTAACTTGAGCTTTTGAGCAACTTGCCTAGCAAAAGATTGGGAAATTTTTCCGATACCATCTGAGAAACAATAGCTTACACCATCAGTGGTAACTTCAATATCTGGAATTATCTCAACATCTTGAGGGGACACTTCAAAAGTTTGCATGGAAGAACTGAACAACTGACCCATCCTCGCTGCACATTTAGAAACACTGCGGATATTGTTGAAGCATCCCATCCATTCTCTGATATCTGTTGCTTTCAAATTGTCATTAGAAGCAAATAACCAAACAGAATTTGATCGAAGCTGACTAGCAGAGAAGGCCAGGAACTCAAATCTCTTTGATCCAATAAAAATCCCATCTCGAAGAATAGTCAATATTCGATTATATATTTCAGTTTTAGAAGGCTTTGAAAATATTCCCTTTTGCACACCAGTCGATACTGCATAATTTGGAAGCTTATTCCAATTCTCTTCAACAAAGGTAATCCTCATGAAGTCTGAAGCATAGGATGCAAAATGCTTTACCACATGGTTTGACGTTTCAAGCTCAGGACCAAGGCAATAAATCTTCGTTGGGGTAATCAAGGCTCTATGACAGCTCATAATGTTATTATCTGTCAATCTTTTCTGTGAAGATTGTGGTGGACTTTTTTTCTTATTACTCAGCACATGCAACTGAGTCTTCACGAATTTAAGAGGCTCATAACAAGTGAAGCCCATCTGGTGCAATTTCTGAAAAATCACAGCTCTAATTTCTTCATCTAAGCCTCCCAAAAGGTCAATCAATTCATCATCCACCGAAGCAAGACTAATTTTCTGAGTATGAACAAGAGAATTCAACTGGAAAAGGGCCTCGTAAGGTAACTTGGATTGCGAAGCACACTTTACAAGAGGAACTGCTTCCGTAGAAGAACAGAATTCTTCCCCATCCTCCAGAGCCAAATCTGTCATATTTTCCTTGTAGAGCGGGAAACTTGTAAAAACATCCGAAGCCAAATGTTCTTCCTCAATTTCCCAACAAAATGAAGTAGAGTGCCCAATTGACTTCAGAGCCGAAAAGTCAGTCGTCCGCACCCAAAGAAACTCAGAATCCTCCTTACAAAAATGGTACCTATCACTCTTAAACGTGGTTGCCACATCTGGCCCAGTCTTTTTCTTGTAAATCCTTGGCCCAAATTTAAGCTGAGAGGAAAAGAAAACACCGTCAAATAAAATATAAAAGAAAAGAAACTCATGAATCGCACAAAACAAAAATCCCAAATACTTATTGTCATTGAACAAGACAATTTATATAGAGTCCCTAAGTGTTTTTTTTATGCTGCTACCCAATCATAATAAAATATGAAGAAAATGTACCTTCAAGAGAATGGCATTGAGTTTGGCTTCTTCTCCCAAACAATAGCCATGAGACTCCAAAATATCCTCAAAAAAAATCTCGAGTCGGTAACAGTCGCCACCATGCCACACCAAGAAGTCAAGCTTCCTCCTTTGGGCCACTACCAACCCCGCAACGCCCTCCCAGGAGTCGAGAACGCTCATGCGGTGGTCGGAGAGCATGATGCCGGCGTAGAGGACACCATTTTGAAGGCGGTGGAGGGGGCGGAAGATGATGTCTTCGGAGGTATCGGAGAGGCGGAGGAAGTGGGAGTGGATGAGCAGTTGTTGAAGGTTGGAGAGAGATAGGGCGCGGGACTTAGCGTCGAGGGTCTCGAACTGGACGCGGCCGGCGCCGCGGGACTTCCAGTTGGCGTTGTCGGAGAAGATTTCGAGGGCGAAGACGGTAGAAGTACCCACCTTGGATTCGAGGAAGTGGAGAAGGTCCTTGGCGGTGGCGGAGCGAGGAATGTTGAAGACGCTAACTGTGTGCGAAAGGGGAGTTGTTGTCGTTCCCATGGTGATGATGAAGATGCCCCTTACTTGCAGAGTGAGTGACAGTGTCACACACAACACAGGGAGCGTGTTGCCATACAAATTATAAAATAGTTGAATTTGATGTTACTGGAAAACATACAAAACCCATGTTTCCTTTTAAATAGGACTCTGGTCTTCTACACTCAGCTATGGGTCACAGTGTGGGCCGGGCCGAAAATAACTATTTGGGTATTTCATCGTGCACCTCCAACACTTCATTATGCACCTCTAACTTTTTCAAACAATTATTTTTAACTTTAGTAAATACCATTTCTACTTTTTCTCTGTTTAAAGTAAAGCTGTTTCATCATGCACCTCCAACACTTTATCATGTATTTCCAACATCTTCAAAAATTTCTTTTTAATCTTAGTAAATACTTTTTTTTACTTTTTCACTTTCTATTTAAAGTGATCCTACACTTTTTTAACTTTATACATTTTTAACAAAATTTTAAAAACGGTCTTTTATTTATAATTTAATTTCAAAATTTAATATTTTTCATATTTTAATAATTATTAAAATATAATTTGTATTATTATAATAATTATATTAAAAAAATTAAAATTAAAAGAATTAAAATAAAAGTAATAAAAATAAAAATAATTATATAAAATCTGATTTAATATATATAATAATATATTATATTATATTAAAATATTAAATTAATAAAAGAGGATTTCAAAATTTTCAAATTTCTTAATTATTATTATTTTAATTTTAATTTTTTTAATATTACTATATAATAATATAAATTATATTTTAATAATTATTTAAATATAAAATATATTAAATAATATTAAAATTTTAAATTAAATTAAATAATTAATATAGTATAAACAAAAACAAATTTTTGAGAAAACTTTCGTATCGGAATTAGAAATCCGATAACATAGTTATCGGATACCAATATCCTATGACTTTTTTTAAATTTTATTTTTTATTTAAAATTTAATAATAATTTAATTTTTCATATAATAATTATACTATAAAAATTAAAATAAAAGTAATAAAAGTAAGAATAATTACATGAAATAGGATCTAATATATAAATTTATATTAAAATAATAAAATAGGATTTCAAAACTTTTAGATTTCTTAATTGTTATTATTTTTATTTTTATTTTTTTAATATTATTACTATAATAACATAAATTATATTTTAATAATTATTTAAATATAAAATATATTAAATAACATTAATTTTTTAAATTATATTTATAAATAAGAAACAAAATTTAAAAAAATTTTATGTAGGAATTGAAAATCCGATAAAATAGTCATCGGATATCCGATGACTTTTTTTAAATTTTATTTTTAATTTAAAATTTAATGATAATTTAATTTAAATAAAAAAATAAATTTTAATAAATATTAAAATATAAAAAATATTAAATAATATTTGATTTTTAAATTAAATTAAATAGTTATTAAATTATAAATAAAAGATAAAGTTTTGAAAATTTTGTTAAAAAAGTGCAGAGTTAAAGAAATATAGGATCATTTTAAATAGAGAGAGAAAAAGTAAAAAAGTATTTATTAAAATTAAAAATAAATTTTTGAAAAAGTTGAAGTTACAAGTGTTGTGAGGGAGATGAAACACCCTAACTTTCTTGGACAACTTATGAACCCAAGTCCACGCTCACGTGAAAGAAAAATTGAAAGTTCTTTATTTATTAGAAAATTATAAAAATACTTAGGATATTTTTTAGTGTATAAAATTAGAAATGGACTCCTCCTGCAAATTTTAAAGCTTTTTAATTTCATTTATTTGTAATTTTTGTGTAGTTTAATTTATAATGATTATTTTTTTTTTACTTTAGTATAATTCTTAAATTTTCTAATTTGATGTTATCTTTTTTATTGTTTTTTTAATTGAGTTGTTGATTTGATTCAGATCATGACTTTTGTTTCATTCAAATTCAAATTGTGTAACAAATATATTCAAACAAATTAAGATATATTTTTTTCTAAATCATAATTAGATTGAATCGCGTTATCATCTCCACACTTTACTTCCTCTTGTTTCAATAAGAATTATTCATTGCTTTTTTTTTTGTTAATTAAGGATAAACTCTACTATTCTTGCTTTATCCATATTTTCAACATTTATGTTTTTGCCTTTTATTTATTTTTTCATGTAATGCATGGTTCACTCTATAGTGTTAAATGAGAGAGAAAAAGAAAACAAGAAAGAAAGGATTGAGAATGTGGAATTTAAATTTCTATCGAATATGAATTGTATGTTAAATTCAGGCATCATATTTAAGATTTAAATATTTGTTTTTGAAAACATGTCACTTATTTTTAGTTCATGTATTATTTTATTTTTTCCTCTAAAGTATTTTTTAAGTCTCTACTATTTTATCTTACTTTAATATTTAATTTTAATATTAACTAATAAAATGAAGATTTACACAAAATTAAATATTATGTTTAATATCTTATTATTTATGATTTTTTATTTTAACTATTTATAATATTAATTTTTATTTATTAATAATTATTGTAATCATTCATCATGTATTTATCTTTATTAGCACAATTATAAATTATTATTGATTATATTTATTCTTTATACTTATTTAAACACATATATGATGAATGCAAATCACATAATATCTTTTCTTATTTTAACATTCAAACTTTTGATCTATAATCACAACAATCATCCGTTGTGAACTAGAAAAATGACATCTCATCTACCCTCTATGTCAAGTTGGATAGAAACAATTATCCACTATGGAAATCTTTAGTATTACTAATGATTAGAGGCTGCAAACTTGATGACTATATGCTATGAACAATAGAATGTCTTGGCCAATTCATTGTTGTGAATAATACGACAACAACAAAAGTCAATCTTAGTTATGAGATTCAAGATCAAGTCATTTCAGGATGACTTATCAGATATATGTCAATTGACATTGCAACTCGATTGCTTCATTATGAAACATCTAAACAATTTTGGGATGAAGCTCAAAGTTTTGCTGGTGTGCACACTAGATTGAGAATCGTCTATATTAAATATGAATATCATAACACATGGAAATGAGACATAAAGGTGAGTAATATCTTGACAAGATAAAAAAAAACTTGCTAATACGTTAAAGCTGACAGGTTCACCAATTTCTAACTCTGATTTAGTGATTTAGACACTAAATAATTTGGATTTTGATTACAATCCAACGATTATCAAACTAATCATATTAATATCGGGTTGAATTGAAAACCCATTATTAACCTTTGAAAGCCAATTAAATCAACTCAATAACTTCAACAACCTTAATAATCTTAGCTATGAGGCTCATGATCAAGTCATTTCAGGATGATTGATCAATTTTATGTCAATTGACATTGCAACTCAACTGGTTCGTTGTGAAACATCTAATCAATTTTGAGATAAAACTCAAAGTTTTGCTGGTGTGCACACCAGAACGAGAATCGTCTACATTAAATATAAATATCATAACACACAAAATGAGACATGAAGGTGAGCAATGTCTTGGTAGATAAAAATTTTTTGTTAATAAGATAAAGCTAGTAATTCACCAATTTCTATCTTTGATTTAATAATTCAGACATTGATTTGGATTTTGATTACAATCCAGCGATTATCAAACTGATCATATTAACATGGCATTGAATTGCAAACTTAATTATTAACCTTTGAAAGCCAATTAGATCAACTCAATAGTTTGAACAATCTTAATATGAATGTTTGTGCAACCTTAAATTGATCACATTCACAATATCAAATTTTATTTAACCATTTACAATATCAATTTTTATTTATTATGAATAATTATTGTATTCATTCAGTATCTTTATTAACATATTGTTATTCATTATACGTTATTTTTTGTATTTATTTTTTTACCCACTCTTTATATTTAAACACATTCACAATCATTCAATATCTTTTTATACTGGTTTTGTGAAAAAATTGTGTTAAAACTTAATTGTTCTATTATGTGGTTCAATGAATATTATAATGCTTTTCGCATATTGTTTGGTAGTGTTTATTAGAGGTAATAATTTTATAACATATAAAAATGTGATGGAAAGAGAAACATAATAAAAGTAATCCACCAAACATTTTAACAGATATTAGTTACCAAAAAAGTTAATAGATATTTCACCGATAATATGGTTTAAAAACGTGTTTATATGAAGAGTTTAAAATTATGATTGGAGGCAAATCTTGTAAATTGATTAATTTTATTTTATTTGCTTATGCAAAAGTAAAAAAAAATATGCAAATAACTACGATACTAGATAAATAAGATTTGTCAGTATTTAACCTATCAATCCTATGTTAGAGAAAGAAAAATGAAGTCCTGTAAATATCACCAGTTTTTAATATAAAATGAAATATTAAAAAATAAATGGTATTAAAATATCTTATTTGCAAATAAAAATAAATAAGTTTACGTAAAATGTTAATAAAAAAATTAAATACAATGTTTACGTAAAAAAAT